GAAAGCGCACGCAGCCAATGAAATGGCAGCAGCGGGAGGGCCGCGCGGAGAAGACGGGCTGGCGCCAATTTTTGAAACCTTCATTTTCTTTTTTTATTTGCATACAAAAAACAACAAATTTTTGCTTGGATCAAGTGAAGAGGGTAAAAAATCAAGTTTTAAGAAGAAAACTAATTGAAAATAATAGGTAGGCTGCGTAGATAAACAAAGCCTGAAAGGCCGTTTCTGCGGTGAGCACGCCAATCGGTCCTACGGTGAAGGCAAACTTCACTCGACTGAAGGACATCACCTTCAGACGTAGCCGTACATCAGCAGAGGAACAACAGTGCCTGGTGGCGAGGACCGGCAAAGCACGAGAATGCAAACAGTACCGGGCGGCCCTCATCCGTCTCTCCACGGAGATCATCGTGCCCAGGGCCACAGTGAAGAAGATGATGATGACGCCGTTGAGCGAGCCGAGGATGAGCAGCACTTCAGTGCTGAGCGTCTTCAGCATCGCCATCGACGTCGAGTAGACGTTGAAGCCGAGCAGAGTAAGCAGCGCTAAAAGCAAACCGCTGGAGACGAGCTCATTGTCCGTTTTGCGTAGATCAACGACGATTCGCTGGTAGAGAGAGAGAAAGGTGGTGATGATGAAGGTGGTCAGGCGACGATAATGTCGTTTGCTTAAACTCTTTTTGTTTTGATTGAATTTGAAAATCACTTTCTGTAGGAGATAGTCTAACCTTCTAACGGCAAACATCTGCTGACTGGTGAGAACGTACAGCAGGACACTGAAAAAGTGCCCTCCAAAAAAGCAGATCTTGACGCTGTGCCAGTCAAGGTAACCGGTGATGGCGATGTCCAGCAGGAGGACCAGCCCCTGGCCCAGAGAGTACACCGGCGCAATGGTCACCAGATAGAGCGAGAGTAAGAGGACGCTGCTAAAGAGGCCCAGCAGTAGGGTGCAAATAGCCGCCAGCTGGTCGATGGCCATCGAGAGCAGGAGTGCTCGCTGGCGAATGGACTTTGGGAGGTCGGGAAAGTGTGCCAACGGCCTTTCAGTCACCTTTATTGGCGGTATGTTTTTTTGAGTTAATCCAGCTCCAAATGACCTTGCCCCAGTTAAAACCTTGTGAATTTTGCCCATTGATCACGATCAGCTCATATACCAAGCGGGCACAGTGCAGCCCTCGTCGCCACTGTACGGTAAAGTGAATGCAAAAGACGACCAGATAGAGTGGCCAGATGACGATCACCGAGTGCTGGTCAATGACGCCCAGGTTGATGGCGTAACCGATCACCGGATCTATTTTGCAGTACGACGATGAAGAGACGTTAAATCGCTGCAAAAAGTTGGTGTTGAGAAGAAAGGAGGCGAGGAGAATTCGAAGGAGGTACTGGCCGATGCAAAGGTAAAAAAGGAGATACTTTACTCGGTCAATGGTTCGAAAGTGGGCGTTGTCATCTGCTGCTGATGCTGCCATGGCGGTGATGTACGAGGTGGAGGTGTACAGCTGGGCCTTGACATGTCTTCCCAAGAAGCTGCTCACCTGTCGAACGGCACAAATTGGCTTTGGCATTCTTTGTTGACTGAAGGTATAGTTTTCTTACGGAAGGTACTTTTCTCTTTTCTGTATATCAAAAATGTCATCTGGAAAAAAACTTATTCAAGAATTTTTATGCCAAGTAAGAGAGCACGCAAAATGCAATGTTCCAAGAAAAACTAATTTGACAGTTTTTCTTCTTTAAAAGTCGCTGAATAATGCATGAATGAGCTAAATTGTAAAAATTCTTTAACGGAGTTTTCATTTGTGAAAGTATTCTCTCTTTTAGAAAATTTTAATTGCCATTTAAAAAAGCGAAAAAATACCACATTTTCGCAGACAAATCAAGTGCAGTTCTGAAGTTATAACTTTTCTTCAAGTGAAAAAACCCAGTACTAAGTTTTGAGTACTGCTGCATTTGTTTTCCTTCAAACTGTCAATTTAACTACTGTCTGCCGGTAAATAATTAATTTCATCCTGCACAGCCTTTTCAACGAAAACAACATTTAACTGTCAACAGCAACAAACCTTCTCACTCTTCGATCTTCACCAAAACTGACTTTTTGTTTATTCCACAAACCCACACACAAACATATTTCATTTACTGCACCGAGCTGGACTTTTTCAGCGCCTGATCTAGGTCGGCGATCAGGTCCTCCACCGCCTCCACGCCCACCGACAGTCGAATAAAGGTGTCGTCAATGCCGAGAGCGGCTCGGGTCTCCGCCGGAAGCGAGGCGTGCGTCATGATGCTCGGAATCTCGATGAGACTCTCCACGGCACCGAGGCTTTCGGCGAGGGTAAATAGCTTCAAGGCGGAGAGAAAAGCTTTCGCTGTCTCCAGGGTGCCCTTGATGTAGATGCCCACCATGCCGCCGGTGCCGGAGGACTGCCGTCGGGTGATGGCCCGCTGGGGGTGCGAATCCAAGCCGAGGTAGATGACCTTCCGCACCTGAGGATGCGTCTCGAGGAAGCGGGCCACGGCGAGGGCGTTCGCCTGGTGGGCCTCCATGCGCAGCGCCAGCGTCTTGATGCCTCGGTTCACGAGGAAGCAATCAAAGGGCGAGGGCACGGCGCCGACGGCATTCTGCAGGTACTTCAGCTGCTCGTACAGATCGGCGCGATTGGTCGCGATGGCGCCCATGATCACGTCAGAGTGGCCTAGAGAAAGAAAAAGAGGATGAATTCAAATGATCACCAGGATCCATTAGGCAGTCCACTTTTCTACTTTTCAATCTAAACAGCCGGCCGTAAAGGACGTGCAAAATCGAAATGTACCTTACCGTTAATGTACTTGGTAATGGAGTTCATGACAATGTCCGCCCCTAGCGTCAGCGGATTCTGAAAGTACGGACTGAGGAAGGTGTTGTCGACGACGGTGATGATGTCCGCACCAGTGGCTGCCCTCACCAGCTGGCAGACCGCCGCAATGTCCGTCACCTTCAGCAGCGGATTGGTGGGCGTCTCGAACCAGACCAGCCGTGTGGTGGGCTGAATGGCCGCCTTCACCGCCGCCAGGTCGCAGAAGTCGACGTAGCTGATGGTGAGGCCGAACTTGGCGGCCACCGTGCGGAAGTACCGATTCGTGCCGCCGTACAGCTCGTCGCCGGCCAGCACGTGGTCACCGGCCTTCAGCAGCTGGGTGATGTTCGTCTGGGCGGCCAGGCCGGAGGCGAAGGTCAGGGCGTAGTCCGCCTTCTCCAGGGCGGCCAGCGCCTTCTCCAGCGAGTCACGCGTTGGGTTGCCGCTGCGGCCGTATTCGAAGCCCTGGAAAGGTTTAAGTTTTGTTTAATTTTTTCTTTGAAAATGGTTTTTGTTTACTTACCGCAGTGACGGCCGGCGCAAACTGCGCAAAGGTGGTCGACATGACGATCGGCGGGACGACTGCTCGAGAGGTCCATTGAGAGGCTAAAGTTGAAGGAAGAAAAAGTTGTTGTAAGTTCTAAAACACGCTAAAAGAACTCGTCTACAAACCTTCCTGACCGACGTGCAGTGCTCTGGTGGCAAAACCGCTACTCTTGAAACTGTGATCATCTCCTGCTTCTTCAGCACCATTCTTCTTTTCCGAGTGTGCAGACATTGTGGTAATAAAGACAAAAAGTAAAGCTTCGGTGGGCAAAAACAGAGATGCTTCCAAATACTTGAAGGTCACGAATCAAGATCAGCCTCTGAAGTACGTTGCTTTTATAGCCTTTAGACTCGACTAAAAGCCACCTGAGCTCCTACATTTCTCCTCGCTTATCTTTCTGGTGCCATGTGTGTAATTGGCCAGCCAATTAATACATATATTGCTAACGAGTCGCTAATATCAGTCTCTTTACATACCTCCTCCTCCTCCTCCTCCTCCACAAAATCGCCTTGAAACACGAGCCAATAGTGATAGGAAAGAGAGACCTCCTTTCGAGCCACCAGACAAGAAGTGGTGAAGAAAGCCTTCACTTGGCACATCCTAATCATCAGTGTCTGTGTGTTTGAAACCCACTGACGACATCAGCAGCAGCAGCAGTTGTTGACAGCTCTCCCCCGATCTCAATGTCCCACACAAATATCTTCTGCTGCTGCTGATTGCTATCACTCTTTTCTTGTTCATCGCCCAAGACGCTTATCATCGCGCCTCTGCTCGATTCACCAACCAAGACACACTGTCTCCTCCATCAATCTTCGACTCGCCGACTGTCCCTCTAATCGCCATAAGTCATCATCATCACTTGAAGAAAAGCGGCACTCCACCCAAAAAGTTTTGAAACAGCGCAAAAACACACAGAGTAAGCGGTGGTCGCAGTTTTCAGTGTGCTGTACAGTGGTGTACAGCATCAAGTTTCGCCCGCTGAAATAATGTATACTCAAGAGTGGATGTAAAGACACGACTTTGGCACAAAGTAGGCTCAAGCGAAAGATGAGATATACTGGGCATCACTAGCTTGTATAGTAACAGGATGTTTATTTGTGCTTTGCTTATCAACAGCAGCACCAGTGCTAGCGCTGTCGGCGTCCTGCTTTGATAAGCTCCAGAATTTGAGTGTCAATCGAGTGGGGGTCGCCGCCGCTCTTTCTATGACGTTTGCTTTCAGGTGAATTTGAGCCGGCCTCGCTATCACTGTCATCATCATCACGGGAAGAGGAATCATCGTCGTCGCTGCTGCTGTTGTCGTTCTTTCTCTTTCGATCCCTTGAGCCACTGCTGCTGCTGCTGCTTTTATGATGTTTTGACGATGATTTCGCTGAACTGCTCGATGCGCTTTTCTTTTTCGACTTTTTCTTCTTGCTCTTCTTTTTACTGCTCTCCTTGTGCCGCCTGCTTCTGCTGCTGCTGCTGCTGCTCTCCTTATCGCGATCACCGCTACGATGACTACTGCTTCGATGATGCGATGATGATGCTTTCAACGTGGAAGATGATGAGCTAGATTTGCCCGCTAATGAGTGATGGTTGATATTTAAATGGCTGTTGACAGTTGCCGTCTTCGAGGAAGTCGATGACGATGGTGGCGGTGGTGGTGGTGGCAGAGCAGGACCATAGCAATCGTCGTCCAGTTCGCTAGCAGCAGTAGTAGGCAAACTCATGTTTGGCTCTGGAGCTTGAGGCTTCAGACAGGGATTAAAAGTTAAGGGATTAAAGTTCTGGCTGAGCAGGGCAAAGTCGACTCCGGCAAAGATGCCACTTCCACCGCCACCTCCACCACCGAGCCTCCTCCTCTCAACTCCATTTGAAGCCGCTTCTGAAGCTTCTGCAGTGGATGAGTCTTTTTCTGTCGCTGCCGCACTCTTTGCTGCTGAATCGGCCTTCGGCTTTGCAGAAGCTTCTTCCCTTTCCTTTTCCTCATCACTGTCATCCTCCTCGTCTGAAGCAAAGATCGACTTGAAGAGATCGATTGGCGGTCGAGGTTGCTTTTCAGTCTCCTCCTCATTCTCATCATCTGATTCAACTTCAATCACAGTAGACTTTGACTGAGTAGACTTTGGTGGTGCTGGTGGTGGTGGTGGCATGGAGGAAGGTTTATTTTTCGCTGCTTCAGCAGCTGAATCCGCCGTCACTACCGCCGGACTAAAGCTCGCCAGACCTTCCATGTTGCCAAAGAGGCCGGCAAAGAGCGTCCGTGTGCTGCTGCTGCCCAGCTGATTCGCCTGCTTGACACTTTGCAGCGTGGAGGTCATGTTTCGCGTCTTCTGGCCGCCCCGGTCGACGGAGACGATGCCGACGACGTCGGGAAATTGCGGAAAGGGGTGCTGCAGGCCGAACCGCCGGCAGACNCAAAGAGCGTCCGTGTGCTGCTGCTGCCCAGCTGATTCGCCTGCTTGACACTTTGCAGCGTGGAGGTCATGTTCCGCGTCTTCTGACCGCCCCGGTCGACGGAGACGATGCCGACTACGTCGGGAAATTGCGGAAAGGGGTGCTGCAGGCCGAACCGCCGGCAGACCAGCCTATGCGGGTGCCACTGGTAGGTAGTTCGAGTGGGCGGCTTCTCCTCGGCGGCTTCCTCTTCATCTCCTCCTCTTCGCTGACCTCCAGCCTCAAAGCCAGGCGTTGAGGAGAGATCCTTAAAGGTGCTCAGTCCGGCGGAGATGGTGGGATCATCGAGAGCAGAGGAGCCTCGAGTGAAGCGGGAGGCAAAGAAGCCGGACAGTGGCTTCTGTGGAAAGGAGGCGGTGGTAGTGGTGGTGGAATGTTGTTGTTGTTGTTGATTTTCCAACGGTTTGCTTTGTGGAGGAGGAGGAGGAGGCGGTGGTGGTGGCATCTTTGGCTTGGCAACTCCCATTCGATGAACTACCTCTTCGCCTAAGATCACAGCTCTAAGGTTTGCATTGAGCGTGGGCTGCTGTGGAGTTTTGCCAGAATCGCCCACACTTTCTATAGTTGTCGTCAGCGGTTGTGTCTGCTCTCCAACTTTGGCGCCCCAGCGAGACTTTTTAGGCTCTTCCCCTTCTGCCTTCTTCCTCCTCCGCCTCTTCGGGCGCCAGTTGTTGGGCACCTCCGGTGGGCGATAGTGCCGGCGCATCTCTGCAAACAGACTAGACCGCGCTGTGGCCTTATCGAAACCCTCCAGCTGAAGGCTGTTGCCGCTCAGAGTACCGTAAGGGCCGGCTCGTCTCTTCCGCCGGTCCTTCTCCTTGGGCGCCGGCCCGCCCAGGGCAAAGTCGTACTGCGACATGTCATCAGTGCCGTACACCGAGGCGCCCATCATGTAGTCGTCCTCCTCCTCCAGGGCGCCGNCGGCTCGTCTCTTCCGCCGGTCCTTCTCCTTGGGCGCCGGCCCGCCCAGGGCAAAGTCGTACTGCGACATGTCATCAGTGCCGTACACCGAGGCGCCCATCATGTAGTCGTCCTCCTCCTCCAGGGCGCCGTAGCCAAAGGCTTCGCCGGAGATTTTAATCCGCCGACCGCCGCCCAGGGTGGCCGACACGGCCTCCGGCTTGGCGAGCGCCTTCGTCGGGTCGCCGTAGAGGAAGTTGTCCGGGTCGAGGGCGCCGTTGTAGCCGAGGCCGTGAAGGTCGCCCTTCGTCTCGTACTGCAGCGTCTCTTTGGTGGTGTTTTTGCTAGAAATGCTCCTGTTGCTGCTGCTTGACTGTCGATCTTCCTGTTGCAGGAGAAACAGGTCACGTTGCCGAGCCTTTTGCTCCATCTTGACGTGCCGCTTCATCTTTTGAAAGAGTCGCATGCCGATGGACTGTTTTGAAGGGGCAAAAACCGACTTGATGACATCGTCAAATGTTAGGCTGGTATCACGCAGTCCTGAAAAAATGGTAACCTGTTAGTATTTCACTATTTGAAAACTCTACAAAGAAAACGCTCACCTGCAAAGGAGCTGTTCTCCGCAAAGTCCTCCTTCGTGTGAATCCTCTTCGGGGCGATGCCAAAGGAGCCAAAGTCCTCATCGTCCATGAAATCCTCCGGCCGGGCTCCCTTCGCTCCCTTCTGTCTGTCAGCCTTGTTCACCCGGGAGCTGCTGAAGATCTGCGGCGTGAAGCCCTCCGCCGAGCCGACGGTGTTCCAGTAACCGGCGGAGAAGCCGCCGGTAAAGGCGCCATGGAAGCGCCTTCGTCCGCGTTCATCTCGGACCGTCTGATCAATCTCCGGCTTGCGCGAGACGATTTCATCCGCTTCCAGCGGCGCAAAGGCCGTGCCCACCGGCGCGCTGTACTCCTCGTCGTCGTCTTCGTACATGTTAGTAATGATAATCACCAAATAATAATTAGTCCACCTTGGAACATCTTCAACCCGAAACCGGAGATCACATCAAATCTCAAAAATCGTAAAAGCCGCAAATCTGAAAAAAATGTAAACAAAAGGCACGTTCAGGTTAAAACGCTGCACCGGTGGAAATAGTCTCAAACAGTTTGAGAAAAGTGGCACCGCTTTTGGCGCGATAACACGGAAAAACCTCAAACGGAAAAAAGTTCAACATGGGTTTTCTACCTTGACACGCCTTGATCCACCTTAATCACCCTCATCATCATCATCTTCATCTTCTCGGTGCTCGTCGTCGTCTTTGTGGTACAATATCAGTTCATCTATCACCCGAAGAGGTATTCCCTGTGAGTGCAAGCCCTTGATGACTCTTGATGGCTCGCTTGGAGCGATGCGCTGATTTTATTTGTTATTCTGTCGTTGATAGAGCGTGATGATTATGCAACGCTGATAGTGCCACGCTGATGATA